GTACGCGGGCCTCTCACCGCTGTGGCCCCTCCCGTTGCGGAGCACAGGCTCCGGACGCGCAGGCCCAGCGGCCATGGCTCACCGGCCCAGCCGCTCCGGGATCCTCCCGGACCGGGGCACGAACCCGTGTCCCCTGCATCGGCAGGCGGACTCTCAACCACTGCGCCACCAGGGAAGCCCCATTTCTTCTCTTTTTAGGGAAATTCAGTCCTCAGAAAAATAATGTTTAAAACTCCACAGAAACATTCCCCATACCTCTCCGTACCCCACCGCGTCTCTAGGAAGCTGAGTCCTGCAAGGAGCAATGGCTTTCTTCCAAACTCCAGTCATCTCTGCACTAATGAAGTACGTCAGGAACAACTAAAATCCCAAGCTTCGGGTAAGCACCGACTAAAGGCAGCCACTACTTCCAGTCTTAAAGACAAAGCTCCAAGGGTAACACATCTGAGTGGAACAAAACCGAACCAAAACCCCACAGCACCCGTTCCCAGCCTGGTCCCAGACAAGCCCTGGAACCACCACTCCAGCAGCTGCAAACTGCAACATCCTTACCGGTCCCTACCTTCACCACTCAACCTTTCACGGGACAGAACACACCCCAAAATGCACTTCAGGTAAAAAGGGCTACAAAAGTGTCATTAACGTCGTAATATGCCTATCACGTAGGGATCACCTACCTGGTCATACTTTTAGAAGTACACTATGAGGAAAACAATTTTCTATAGGCCAGGAATTACAGGAAGGAGATTTCTCTTTTTAAAACGGGGAGCTACAATCTGACATTCCCTTTCACCAACTCTTCACTATGAAAATTAACTGTTTAGGGGGACTTCCCCGGTGGTCCAGTGGTTAAGACTCCGTGCTTCCACTGCAGGGGGCGCAGGTTAGATTCGATCACTGGATGGGGGACTAATAATGATAAAGTGTTATAGTCACAACCTTTATTCTACACTTTAAAGAAGGCTCTACTTTAACAAAAAAAGTTTAAAGCTAGCTGGAGTACTTAAAAATACATATAGAGATAGACCTTCAAATAAAAAAAAAAGCTTCTATATTCAATTACATGTTTGGAAAATTCTTTCCACAAAAAAGGGGGGAAGTGGGGGGAAGATAAAGTAAAAGTAACTTCTCCTGTTCATTAAGTAAGTTATATGACTTCATTGTTGGTGGCGGTCTTTATTCAGTTCAAACCATTCAGATTTATTCTCTATATCATAATGCAAGCCTGCCTTTTTACTGTAAATAACTACTGGATGTTCGTATTTGATTAAATGTGCAAATGGCAATGCTAACTCATAAAAACCAGCCCTCCTTCTAAGTGACCTGGGTTAACACTTATATCTAAATTATGCTAGTGTAGCCAGGATGCTAATAAGACTGATGGGACGACATAGTTTTTCCTCAGATTTTTGTAAGTGAAAAATAAGTTAAGACAGGTTAAATTACTAGAAATACTTCCAGGACTTTTATAAATCCAGGAATGAGATAGGATTTCAATTGCAGACAGTCTCATTACCTAGTCAACATTCAAAAGTGCAAGTCATTATGGAGCCAAGATTTGGATGCGTGGATACTCGCTCTGCTGAAAGGAGAAAATGTACCCATCAAGAAAACAGAGGTGATCTGCACCAGAAAGCATTCAACAGAAATAGGGTCCCCCTCCAATAATTTTAGCAAAGTTCAATTCTAAGGTGTTTGAGAAAACTGAATCACTGAGGAGCACTCTAGAAGCAAAGAACAAAACCTACAATTTTTTTCTGTAAAAAAGAAACTGAGACCTAAGGTAGAAATCACTGATTTCAAAACAAAAACCGTGCAATGAAAATATGATCAAGAATCAGCCAAGGTAAAGCTACTCAAAATACAATAACAATGAAGATTAAAATGTATTTTAATAAAGTATATTCATTAAAAAATGACAAGACAGATACCAAAATGCTGACAGTGGTCATATCCAGGTCGAAGGATTTCAGGTGACTTTAATTTTACCTGTATACTTTAATTTTCTATTGTGACTATACACTTTATTTGAAAGAAAATAGATGAGTTAAAAAAATTTTTTTTAAAACAGTAGCGGTTTCCATGCAGGAAAACAACCCCAAACATAAAAGAAAACCCTAAACAACTTTAATACTCTAAATATGCCTGGATGGCTTATTTGCTTTGAACATTCCTTGTGGATCTAAGAAAAATACTCTTTCACACTCGCTGACCCTCCTGCAGAGGCCAATGCTACAATGAAGCATTTCCTGAGTAGGAAAAACCTTTGAAAGAAACAAACTATCTGCAAGAAACTAAGTGTGTGTAGGGGAGCGGTGAGGCAGATAGTTGAGATTCTCTTACTGACAGAACCATACAGCTTTTGAGATTGTAAGAAGCTTGTCTCCGAATACTTTCAGACAACGCCCAATCCTTGGTGCTAAGCTAGCATTTACCTGGACATCATCCTTGGCTTCCCGGATGGAAGGTGCCACACCCATACATGTGCTGTCAAATAAGCTCGCCATTGGCTACAAAACGGTCTGAAAGCATCAAGGGGAAACCCTCCCTGAAGGCAAGCTCCACTCTCAAGAGGAACCTAGGCTTGCTTTTGGGAGGTCACTATTTGAGGAGACTGCTGGAATGTGCAAACCTTTTGTCCCGTCCCTCCACTAGGTGCCTAACCTAAGTCTCTCTCCTTTCAAGATCTGTAAAATGGATTCAAAGACCATGGGGCCATCATTAGGATCATCTAAGCATCACACAAATACAAGGCATGATGAAGGAAAAACAAGCCGTGGGCTGGACACTGAGACGTTGAGTCTAGCCTAGGGAGTAGGATTAGCTGGTGTGACCTTGGGGCAGTCACTTCGACTGAGCCTCAGCAGGGACAGCATGAAGTCCAAGAGGGAGACCTGCGTGCGCTATCCACCTAGAACAGTGATGCCCCGCTCGCAGCCGGGGCTGACACTGTGACTCCGCGGGCCTCGGCATCTGGGTCCGCACAAGGCAGAGGCCGGGATGCCCGCTGGTCAGGGCTCCCCCAGCTCCGGCTCGCCAGTATCTCCCCCTACACCCGGACGACCGAAGGACCACAATCCAGGCTGCCCCCGGCGCCACCCCTGACACATCCCTCCCGAGGCCGGCCTCGGCCGGGGCGCAAATCGAAACCGAAAAGCCCATGTGACATTGGAGGCCGGCATGCGGCCTCCGCCCGCGCTCAGCCCGGGAGCCGCTGTCTCCACCCAACTCGGCCATCTTGAGGCCGAGCTGACAAAGCGATCCCATTGTTGCGGGTGACGGCGAGGCTGGGCGCCCTCCTCCGTCCCCGCGACCCGGAAGGGGGCACCCTGGGGCCCCGGCGGCAAAGGGTGTGGCGGGAGCGAGGCGGGGTGCCGGGGGACCCACCGCAGCCCCGGCCCCGCACCTTTGAGCGTGGAGCGCTCCACCAGGACCGTGTGCACCTGCGGGTCCGAGAGGAACTTGCGCATCTGCTCCAGGGCGCTCTTCTCCTCCAGCGCCGCCTCGAGCGCGGCCGGGGCCTCGCCGCCATCCTCCAGCAGCAGCGGCACCAGCTTGCGCAGGTGCTTCTGCAGCACCGACACGTCGGCCACGTTCTGCACTGCCGACACCTCCAGGCCGGCCGAGCCGTCCTCGCCGCCGCCCCCGGGCTCCGACATGGCGCCGCGCTCGGGACCCGCAGGCAGCGCTGAGAAGGTGGAGGCGACTCGGCGCGAGAGCGAGCGGGCGGACGCACGAGAGAAACGAGCAGCACAAGCCGACCGCCCGCTAGCCCACTGCCGACTGAGGAGAAGGAGCGCCGGCTCCTCCCTAAAGGCCGCCGCCCGCCGGCCCCGCCCCGCCGCCGCCGCCGCCGCCGCCGCCGCCGCCGCCGCCGCCGCCGCCGCCCGCCTCCCGCAGCCCGCGGTCGGCGCCCGCCGCAGCCACTGGCCTCCCTCACGGTATCGACGTCACGACGTCGCGCTCAGGCGGCCCGGGTGACTCCGCCGCGCAGCCTTCTGGGACTCGTAGTTCCAGTGCTGGGCGGGGCTCCGCAGTACCCACACCTCAAGCCCTAACGATGGGAACTTGCGGGGGGCGGTGAGAGGTGGTCAGGGACTACGTCTGTCCTGTTCACTGCTGTGGACTCAGCGAACAGCACAGAGCCTGCGACACTGCACTAATACTGAATGAATGAATGGTGTTAACGAGCTAACGTGTTTTGAGCACTTAGCCTGTGCCTGACATTGTTCTAAGCACTTAAGCTGTGTAGTTTGTTTGAACGAATGAATGACTACGATGTGTTGAGCTAGAATATCGTCATCTGTGTTATTAAATATACATAAGGAGACTGAGGATCTTTTTCAGAGGGAGAGGAGATGACGGAAGCGTTACATTGCTAGGCTGGAAAGGGGGAGGTTGGGAGGGGACATTCCTGGAGCAGGAAGCAGCTTCTGCAAAAGCAGAGAGGCCTGACTGCAGGAGCGATGTACGGGAAAGCCAGGAGGTGACACCTGAACGGTGGGGTGAAGCCTGGCTGTTGTAGGTTCTGGTTGCTAATGGCAAAATAATTCCCCCCAGAATGCCGTGAGGACCACGGGGGAGACCTACAAGCATCCACCTAGAACAGCAGCCGGGGCTGACGCTGTCATTCCGATGGCCTCAGCATCTGGGTCCACACAAGGCAGGGACTGCCGTGCCTGCCCAATAAGTTTCCCCCCAGCTCCCATTTGCCTGGACCTCCTCCGGTACAACAAGATGACATAAGGGACAGAATGGAGGCTGCCCACATTCTTGGTTTAGAAATGACAGTTATTATAAGGAGCAGTAATTGGCTTTTGAAAGTTCAAACTCATCACTCGCTTCTTAAGTTGGGTGGAGGAAGGGAAGCCAAAGGTGCTATTTTTATATCAAAGTGCACAGTCAGAGAGCTGAATCCTGATTGGTAGAATGATGATGGGATGATTTGATTTCCCCAAATCATCTTTGGAAAACTGCAAAACACGCAGTATGCCTATTCTTGTTCAGTTACCCAATGCCAAGCCCCAGGAACTGCTGGAACATGAAGACTAATGAGATGATTCTTGTCTTTAAGAAGCTCATGACAGAGGGGACAGATTAATATCCCATCCTCCTCCTGCCTTCCAACAGTCCACTCTTTTTTTTCTGTGGAATTTTTTAAATTGAAGTATAGTTAATGTACAATGTTGTGTTAGTTTCAAGTGTACAGCAAAGTCTCATATATATATAGATATATATATATATATATATATATATCTGTTTCAGATTTTTTTCCGTTATAGGTTATTATAAGATTTTTAAAAATTAATTAATTAATTAATTTTTGGTTGCGTTGGGTCTTCGTTGCGGTGCGCAGGCTTCTCATTGCGGGGGCTTCTCTTGCTGCGGAGCACGGGCTCTAGGCGCGTCGGCTCAGTAGTTGTGGCACATGGGCTCAGTAGTTGTGGTTTGCAGGCTCTAGAGTGCAGGCTCAGCAGTTGTGGCACACGGGCTTAGTTGCTCCGCGGCATGTGGGATCTTCCCCGACCAGGGCTCGAACCTGTGTCCCCTGCATTGGCAGGCGGATTCTTAACCACTGCACCACCAGGGAAATCCCTATTATAAGATATTGAGTGTAGTTCCCTGTGCTATACAATAGGTCCTTGTTGTTTACCATTAGTTTGTTTTCTGTCTGTGAGTCTATTTCTGTTTTGTAAATAAGTTCATTTGTATCATTTTTGAAGATTCCACATATAAGTGATATCATATGATATTTGTCTTTCTCTGTCTGACTTATTTCACACTAGTCCAGTCTTATATCATATGCCCGAGCAGATCTAAATAAACTTCCTGGGAAAATACAAAGCACTGCAATGAGTTTGTGCTATGATCATAATGGTAATGAATAATAGTAACTCCACCAACAACTAACACTGAGAGCTCACTCAATACCAGGCACTCTGCTAAGGGCTGCCCCCTGCCCCATGTCCTTTGGGGTAGGAACAGGGATGGAAGAAAATCTGTTAGGTGCATGTTAGTGAACTCTAAATTGACCACACACCATTGGAGCCCCAGAAACTCAGCAGCAAACTGGCAGATGGAGAGAGGCTGCTTGCAGCCTGCACGGTGAGTCAGCACCACCCAGGAGACGCAGCCATTTGGGCATCCAAGGGACTCAAATATCGGCAATCGGGCTCCGAGCCAGGGCAACAGAGCAGCAGGCTCTGGATGTGCAGCCCTATATGTGTGATAGGCTCAAAATTAAGTGTTTGTTGTTTCTAAGAGAATGGAAATCAGAGGAACCTGAACAATCAGTCTACAAGGATCCATACATTGATCAAATGTGCTTGCATTCCTGTTTTCTAAAGATGTTTGCTGTGTTGAATAAATACATCGTAAGAAGAATGGTTAATGTTGATTGACTACTTACAGAGAGTGCCCAGCACTCTAAATTCCTTATCCTGGGGGCTGGCTAGACTGCCCCCAGCTGACAGGGAAGGGGATATTTTTGTGAGATGCTCCCTTGGCCTCCTGGGGCAGGAATCTGCCCTGAGCTGACTCTGTGTGTGTTGGGGGGGACCCTCCACCCAAACCTGGCCTCTCCCATCGCAAACTCCGTTTGGCACCTCCGCTTTCTCATGTTCATAGTAGAGGCTGCTTTCAGTTGGCAGTAGGCAGGGGGTGCTGGCGAGAGAGAATTCTTTCTAAGTTGATGGGGGATGGTAGTGGCTGCTGGGCCACGTGTATTTTATCGGAAGTTGGTGATGAACTGTCCACGTGTCCATCCCCCGCCCTTCTCCTTCAAGTACTGCATTGGATGGCCCCTCAAATCCAAGCTGGGGGCTCCTTCTCATCCCCATCTTCCCTCTCCGTCTCCCAACCCTGGGCCATACTGAGCCCTCAGCGGAAGTCCGGCTGGCCCAGCACCTTCAGGCTCTGCGTCTGGCATGCCCCTCTCCCCCCTCGAAATTCCACATTGGGCTCGCCCATTCATTCATTCATTCCATGGGCTCATTCCCAGCACCAGCAGGGCCTGGCGCAACGTGGGTGCTTGGTTAATGGCTGTGAAAGCAACGCCTCACGCCCCGGGAACGCGGTGCCGGGTGGCAGCGGCGGCCGGCCCACAGAGCATATTTTGGATTTTGACCTTCCCAGCTGCTCGAAACCAGGCAGCGTCATTCCGTCGCCAGCGCGGGACTCCACCCACCTATCGCTCACCGGGCTACAGGACACTTTCTGATGAAGCTCGTCCTGGCATTCCCCCCTTTTCTGTCTCAGGTCCTTGTCTGATGAGCCTCTGGGTGAGTCTGGAACCGCCCCGGGCTCCTGGCGACTTTGAGCCGGGCTGGACGCAGCTGGGGGGCGGGGGTGTGGGGGTGGGAAGTGCCCCTAAGGAACAGAGCGGTCGCTTGGTGCCCTCTGGTGGCACCGCGGAGGACGCGCACCCTGGAATCTTTTCCTGTCGCTCCTAGGCCTCCTCCCAGCCTGCAGCCCCAACCATCCCGGGGACGCCTCCAGGCTCACCTTCCCAAGGTCACCCGGGTGACTCGTCCAAGGTCGCAAAGCGAGCAATGGCGGTGACCAGAGGGGAATGCCAGCCCGTGGTCCAGCCTGCATCCCACCGCCCATTGATAAAGTTAGAGGAGATGGCCTCTAATGCAGACAGTTCAGTCTCTCTACTGCGCGCAAGCCCCCCAGGACGCCTGCCGCTGCCCTGGCCGCTCCTCTGGAGGTACCCAGCCTCTTCTCTTACCTGAGAACTGTGTCCCCAGCCACGGCCACCGCTCCTTGGGGACGCTGGGCCCCACCACCTCTCATGGACATCGTCTCTGAAATCCTGCCCTCGCCCTCAAACGTTCCCTCTCTCCCTCCTGGGTTCTTCCCGGCCACGTCCAAGCTGCTCCAATGCATCTCTTCTTTCAAGAAACCCCTGCCACACCTTCCTGCCAGCACTTCTCACGCTTTGCTGACTTCTTCAGGAAAACTCCTTGAAAATGAGCATAGGTGGGGACTGCCTCTCACCCAGCCCAACCCCATACTCCCCCGCCCCGCAAGTGCTGTTGTCAAGGTCACCAATGGCCTCCACGTGGCCAAATCCAGTGACCAGTTCTGGGCCCTTCTCTTGCTCGACCCTTGGATGCCACTGACACTGCACGGCTGTGTGTGCTGTCAACACTCCCTCCCAGCCCTGTGACACTCAGTACGTCTGCACACCGATGAGTCCCAACCTTAGAAGTCACATCTGCTATTGTTGGGTGGAGTGTTCTAGAAAATGCCAATCAGGCCAACTTGGCTGAAAGTGTTAAGACCTATATCCGTGCTACTTGCTCTACCTATTGAAAGAGGTGTTGAACTTTTGGCTTATAACTGTGCAATTGTCTCTCTCCACGCAGTTCAGTCTGTTTTTGCTTCCTGTATTTTGAAGCTCTGTTATTAGATACATAAAGCATTGTTGTGTCCTTTTCATGAACTGACCCCTTGATCACAGTGGAATGCCCCACTTTATTCCTAGTAGTCTTATTTGCTCTGAAATTTACTTCATCTGATATGAGCACGGTCTCTCTGGCTTTCTCTGGACCAGTGTTAGTGTGATGTCTTTTCCATCCTTCGCTTTTACCCCATTTGTGCCTTTATACTGGGTTTTGCCCAAAACGTTCGTTTGGTTTTTTCCGTAAGATGGCTCTAGTAGCACTTATTTGTCTTTAACTTC